GCAGAGGGAGACCGAGAGAGAAGATGCTGGACAGTTTGACATCACGGCATAGAGGATCATCTGTATCACAGTTGAATGAAATTAAACTAGACAGAAGGTTGTGGGTGGACGTGGCTAACGTCGCCACACAGCATGGACAAGAAGTAGAAGAAGCAAACTGAAGATGCGTAAAGCAGTTCACACACACACACACACACACACACACACAACATATATATATATATATATATATATATATATATATATATATATATATATATATATATATATATATATTAAACACACACACACACATATATATATAAATATCTGGATCTACACACCGGGTCATGCGGGCGTAAAGGGAAATGAGCGAGCGGACCAACTGGCAAGCACTGCACTAATGATTGAGGGGAAAAAGCATGGACAGAGCAGATATTGTCAACGCTGTACGTACGGAGCTAATGGATAATGTCGAATCCCTGACACTAACACGATTGCGTGACATGGGAGTTAAGCATAGTGAAGCACGTCTTTGCCGTCTTCGAGGTCGAGAAAGGAAACAATATAACCAGTTTTCATGGGGACAATTAGTAGAAGTACTTTGGAGTGGCTGCTGCTTCGGAGGACTGCGCACGCATGGGTATGCCCAATGTGCAGTGACGTCGATTGTGATAACAAAACACAAAATAACATTTTGTAGGAAGTCGGCATTCCTAAACCCAAGTTCAAGGTGTCTCCTTCGTGCCAAAGAACTGCATGGCTGTTGGGTGAACAGTCGTTAACGAAGGCAGTCAGGTCGTTGTAGGGGCGACGCCTGGTGGTGGATGTAATGTCCTAAGTCCCTTCCCCAGCTAATAGTGAGAGTACTGCTGGGGCGACCATTTATTACCCCTCACATAATGCTTTAGGTCAAAATGGACGCTAGGCACGGCCACTTTTTTTTAAGCTATGGCAAATGTTTTTTTTTTTTTTTTGCCAGGCGGTGGCCGTCGCATTTTTGCTCCATTTGTAGACTGGAAGGATATAGTTTCGTCGCCTAGCTTCTGAGTTCAGTGCATGGTGTGACAATGTGAGCTACGAGTGTTTTTTGTTGGCACAGGAGCGGAGCAACAATGGGGTGACCCGTTTGCTATGATCCTTCTCTCCTTCCTTTTAGCAAAAGATATGCGTTTATACAGAATTTTGAAAACCCATAGAATCGCCATAGATGCAGTGTTACAAGTTTTTAAACTTCCTAGGCCTATCAGAGATGCGTTTTAATGAAAAGTTGAAGCATATGTCACATTATACAATGACTAGCAGCTGGGATGTTTTGCGATACAGATCTCAAACATCCAAAGATCCAGCCTCAACCAGGATTAAACCCATATAAGAGAAAAGGAAATGGATTTCAATCCTTCGTGGAAAATATAAAAACTGTATCACGTACACTGGCGACTCTTTAAGCAAGACTAGTCTATTCGCACAGAAAGAGCACGCTTTCCTTGTGTGTGTGTGTGTGTGTGTGTGTGTGTGTGTGTGGGTGGGTGGGTGGGTGGTTGGTTGTGTGTGTGTGTGTTTGTGTGTGTGTGTGTGTGTGTGTGTGTGTGTGGGTGGTGGGTGGGTGGGTGGGTGGGTGGGTGGGGTGGGTGGGTGGGTGTGTGTGTGTGTGTGTATGTGTGTGTGTGTGTGTGTGTGTGTGTGTGTGTGTGTGTGTGTGTGTGTGTGTGTGTGTTGTTATTGAATATCAAAACCCATGATCCATGTAATTTTGAATGAGACAACACATTTGCAGCCATAGACTCATATTTGTTCGGGTAGTGGATTAGTAAGCGTCTCGTTGCGAGTCCAGTAATTCCAACGTACCGCGATCGAAACCCATTTCTGGCTACGTAGATTTTTTTCGTGGTATGGGGCGTCTCAGGTCGATTCAGCCTTAAATGGTTACCAGGATGGGCTGTCCTGGGAAAGTAAAGACAGCCGGCGTAATGCTGACCACATGACCCACCTAGTGCCGATTTGTCTGTAAAAATATGGGTGCTTTTCCCTTAAGCCCGATGAGCCTAAAGACGTGAAAAGGGATCTTTACTTTTTTTAGTGGATTAGTAAAAACAGTAAATAACTTTAACCCTTTCGCTACCAAAGTGCAGATGTATTAGATATAAATCGACACTGGCGTGTTCCTTGACGTCAAGAGAGTTAATAACCCACCTTCACCCACGTATCACCTATTAAGTATGTATTTCTAATGCCATAACTGTGTAGATCACCAACTAGTCAACCACCTCATTAACCATTCAGGTGACCACCCAACAAAACGAGCAACTAACTATTCAACAAACTAATCGACCAACCAACCGACTACCTAACCAACAACAAACAAAAACTAGGCAGTTAACCAAGATAGCAGCCAAGCTACCAAAATACAAAAACCGCTTTTAGAGAAATTCCCGACTTTGTCGTTGCCTGTCAACAGTTTGGCTCACTGAATCACTAGAAGATTGAGTATATAACCCGTCTGTCTTGTCCACCGGGTTCTACTCAGGTCAGGATACCAGCCACTGCCCAGTGACTCCTGCCGCAGACACATCGTCGCCTGTATCTCCCTGAGCTACCACCTCTTGTGTCTTGCAGTCAACATGGTGAGTACTTTACCTAACTCTTTTCAGACATGCTTTGTCTATACCCAGATACTGATGCAATACAGTTTTGGTTAGATCCTTGTTTGCAACAAGGCAATATACATGTGCCACTGTGCAGCCTATAATTAATAAGTGTTCCATAGGGAAGCCACCACGGTGTAGTGGCTGAACGCACGTCTGCAGATTCGAATGTTATGGGTTAAAATCTAAACATTTTTTTAAATGACATTGGCTCTCCTTAAACGGGTACCAGGTAAATTCATGGGAGGTAAAGGCCGTCGGCGTGATGGATAGAAAACATCAGTGACAAAATGCCGATTATCTATACAATATCAGTCCAGCCCATATGTGCCGTATGCTTGAAGGAGTGGAAAACAGGTATTGCGTAGATGTGGGTTAAAGCTGTATGATAGTTCAGTTTAGTCTATCATACAGCGGCTAAACTCGCTGTATGATAGTTTAGTTTAGTCTATCATATAGCGGCTAAACTCGCTGTGTGATAGTCTAGTTTAGTCTACCATACAGAGGCTAAACTCGCTGTGTGATAGTCTAGTTTAGTCTACCATACAGAGGCTAAACACGCTGTGTGATAGTCTAGTTTAGTCTACCATACAGCGGCTAAACTCGCTGTGTGATAGTCTAGTTTAGTCTACCATACAGCGGCTAAACTCGCTGTGTGATAGTTTAGTTTAGTCTACCATACAGCGGCTAAACTCGCTGTGTGATAGTCTAGTTTAGTCTACCATACAGAGGCTAAACACGCTGTGTGATAGTCTAGTTTAGTCTACCATACAGAGGCTAAACACGCTGTGTGATAGTCTAGTTTAGTCTACCATACAGAGGCTAAACACGCTGTGTGATAGTCTAGTTTAGTCTACCATACAGAGGCTAAGTCTCGCTGTGTGATAGTCTAGTTTAGTCTATCATACAGCGGCTAAGTCTCGCTGTGTGATAGTTTAGTCTCGCTGTTTGATAGACCTAGCTAACGATAACAACTTTCTCACGGGGTGTCGAGTTGGCCAATTGTCAAAATACACTTTAGAATGCGTGTTATATTTCTTCAAACATTTATGCTGTTTTACAAACACACACAACACACACACACGCACGCACGCCCACATCCACACCCACACAAACACACACGTACGTACTCACACACGCACGCCTACCTCCACACACACCCACACACACACATAAAACGCATAGTTATCCGAAGGCCTTTTACTACAACTTATACTGAAAGAAACACAGTTTCGTCATACTGTTTATATTCAAAATCACTGTTATTTATAGAGTGAAATAGCTCAAATTGTATACGAGAGTAAGTAAGTTTCAGCGAGTCAATTGACATATCATTATTTCTTTCATATCTGGGTCGCCAACAGTTTTAATGCCTAAGGGTTTTCTCGTAAACTAATAAACAGGCGCGTGGAATAGCTGTGTGTTTCTGTTTGTAAACAGGAAAGAAATTGTGGATATGTATGCCGTTGTTTTTCGCCTCGCTTTTTTTTTTCTTTCTTTAAATACAGTGTATTAAACGCTACATAAGGCTTGCAATCAGTTCCTGCATTGCGTTGTATCGTGTTCAGTCTCCATGACATCACATGTGGAATCCAGTCTAGCAGCTTTGGCTTCTCTCATCAACGTTCGCCTGAGGGTTTCTCTTGGGCGCCCTCTCTTTATAAATCCATTTATTTCTTTGGCTAATTCCTGTTTGGTGCTCGTTTCTACGCGGAATGTCTTTAGTGGACATTTTATGCGAGACCCATATTTTTTAAGACTAATCAGGGCTCGATAGATGATCTTGTCAATATCACAACGACCACCTTTTCTTCCTATAATATTTCCATGTATCTTCCAGTGTGGGTTTCGGGGCTCTATTGTGGGAAAACCAGAATTGAACTATTGCCCCCCCCCCCCCCCCCAAACAAGCACGTTGTGGGAGTCTACTAATTGGGGACTTACTTCGAAGTCGGAGTGCAGCTGCCATAGCAGCAAGGAACAACCAACTGCAAAAAAATAAGCCAGTAAAACGGATGTATACGCAAATTAAGGCCCTGGCACAAAGCCTAGGTCCAAATGGACGAACAACCAGAACTTTTGGCTGGAGCTTACATCCGGTGAACTTAGAAGATTTTTTAGGTACCAGCTGGTCGTCATTGTAGTCAAATTTTTTTTTTTGGGGGGGGGGGAGGAGGGGGGGGGGAGGGGGGTGTAAGGGGTGAGGGTTGGGTGGGAGTGTTGTTGTTGGTGTTGGTGTTGTAGTTGTTGTTTCTGCCCAAGTTATACAACAAACAGGCGTGCGTTCAAAAGATTACAAGATCGCACACGAATGTAAACACTGAGGGAGTACTTGTTGCCGACTAGGGACGATTCACTGAGTTCTCCCTCTAACAGGTTCAGATGACAGTTGCACTGGCGATGACGGTGATGATGACAGGGCTGGTGCTGGAGTCAGTGTCTGCGCTTCGTAAGTGGAGAGAGAGAGATCTTTGGTAGATACATGGCTTGCCCACAATGGAAGGATGGATGGATGGATGAATGGATGGATAAATGGATGAATGGATGGATGGATGGATGGATAGATGTATAGATGGATGGATGGATGGATGGATGGATGGATGGATAGATGGATGGATGGGTGCATGGATGGATATACGGACGGCTGGGTGAAGTGATGGATCGACTGACGGACAGGGATGAACGGATATACGGACAAAGACAGATAAATGCACACGTGGACGAGTAGGCAGACAAACAAGCAGACACATAAATAGGCAGTCAGATAAACTAACAGGTAGAGTGAAAGGCACATTTGCAGATCGACAGATATATAAAAAACAGACATATATGTAGGCAGATAGACAGACAGTCAGACGGAAAAGACAGACGGACGGAAAGACAGACAAACAGACAGACAGACAGACAGACAGACAGACAGACAGACAGACAGACAGACAGACAGACAGACAGACAGACAGACAGACAGACAGACAGACAGACAGACAGACAGACAGACAGACAGACAGACAGACAGACAGACAGACAGACAGACAGACAGACAGACAGACAGATAGATAGATAGATAGATAGATAGATAGATAGATAGATAGATAGATAGATAGATAGATAGATAGATAGATAGATAGACAGACAGACAGACAGACAGACAGACAGACAGACAGACAGACAGACAGACAGACAGACAGACAGACAGACAGACAGACAGACAGACAGACAGACAGACAGACAGACAGACAGACAGACAGACAGACAGACAGACAGACAGACAGACAGACAGACAGACAGACAGACAGACAGACAGACAGACAGACAGACAGACAGACAGACAGACAGACAGACAGACAGACAGACAGACAGACAGACAGACAGACAGACAGACAGACAGACAGACAGACAGACAGACAGACAGACAGACAGACAGACAGATAGATAGATAGATAGATAGATAGATAGATAGATAGATAGATAGATAGATAGATAGATAGATAGATAGATAGATAGATAGATAGATAGATAGATAGATAGATAGATAGATAGATAGATAGATAGATAGATAGATAGATAGATAGATAGATAGATAGATAGATAGATAGATAGATAGATAGACAGATAGACAGATAGACAGATAGACAGATAGACAGATAGATAGATAGATAGATAGATAGATAGATAGATAGATAGATAGATAGATAGATAGATAGATAGATAGATAGATAGATAGATAGATAGATAGATAGATAGACAGATAGACAGATAGACAGATAGACAGATAGACAGATAGACAGATAGATAGATAGACAGATAGACAGATAGATAGATAGACAGATAGACAGATAGACAGATAGATAGATAGATAGATAGACAGACAGACAGATAGATAGAGATAGATAGATAGATAGATAGATAGATAGATAGATAGATAGATAGATAGATAGATAGATAGATAGATAGATAGATAGATAGATAGATAGATAGATAGATAGATAGATAGATAGATAGATAGATAGATAGATAGATAGATAGATAGATAGATAGATAGATAGATAGATAGATAGATAGATAGATAGATATAGATAGATAGATAGATAGATAGATAGATAGATAGATAGATAGATAGATAGATAGATAGATAGATAGATAGATAGATAGATAGATAGATAGATAGATAGATAGATAGATAGATAGATAGATAGATAGATAGATACTGACTTCTATTAAACAATCCTTGCAGCAATGAGATATTACAGGACACGACCATTTGTAGCACAGTCTCCTTTGACTATCCACAGCCCAGTCTCTGGTACGTACATGGATTAACTGTCCATCTGTGTCCATCTATGTGTCTGTGTCTATAGATATATGTGCCTATAAAAATATATACACGTGTATGTTTGTGTGTGTGTGAGCGCGCGTGTGTGAGTGTGTGTGTGTAAGAAAAATGATTATTGCCAGTCATTTGCCATTACGTGGAGGAGTGTCAGCATATGAGCTGATGAAGGTTTTGGAGATAGCAGGTTGAGGAGAAACGTGATCACCCATGCAGGTCGATTACCAGCTAAATTACACACACACACACACACACACACACACACCTGTGTGTTGATAATGTGCCTCAAATGATTTACTCAGGTGCCCAAATTGCCTTGACTCGCGGCATCCCTCTCAGACAGTTTGTACACTCAGGCCTGCAATCTGTGGGCGACTACGCATATTTTGATGACGTCGCCGCGGCAGGAGATCCAGGCTATCCTTACAGGCAAAACAGTCACGTGGTGGTTTTAAATAAACCAAAACTGGATAATGTGAACAGTAAGTAGAGAGAGAGAGAGAGAGAGAGAGAGAGAGAGAGAGAGAGATAAAGATATATATAGAGAGAGAGTGAGGGAGAGAGAGATATAGATAGAGAAAGGGAGAGGGAGAGAGAAATAGAGAGAGAGGGAGGGAGAGAGAGAGTGGAAGGGAGGGAGAGAGAGGGAGAAGGAGAGAGAGGAGGAAGAGGAAGAGAGAGATAGAGAGGGGGAGGGAGAGAGAGGGAGAGAGAGAGGTTGGGAGAGAGAGGTGGAAGGAAAGAGAAGGAGAGAGGGAGAGAGAGTGGGAGAGAGAGTGGGAGAGGGAGTGGGAGAGGGAGATAGATAGGGAGAGAGAGACAGAGGGAGAGGGGAGAGAGAGAGAGAGCGAGAGAGAGAGGAAGAGAGAGAGGGAGAAGGAGAGAGAGAGGGGGGGAGAGAGGGAGAGAGAGGAAGAGAGATAGAGAGGGGAAGGGAGAGAGAGCGAGAGAGGGAGGTTGGGAGAGAGAGGGAGAGAGGGGAGAGAGAAGGAGAGAGAGTGGGAGAGAGAGGGAGAGAGAGGGGAAGGGAGAGGGAGAAGAGAAGAGAGAGGGAGAGGGAAGGGGAGAGAGATAGGGAGAGGGAGAGAGATAGGGAGAGAGAGACAGAGGGAGAGGGGAGAGAGAGGTTGAGAGGGAGAGAGAGAGGGAAAGGGAGAGAGAGGGAGAGAGAGAGAGAGAGGCAGGGAGAGAGGGAGAGGGAGAGAGCGGTTGGGAGAGAGAGGGAGAGAGAGAAATAGAGACAGAGAATAACAGAGAATGCATGTGAGAGACAATAAGTGAACTAGACAGAATGAGAAACATCAAGATCTACACACGCGTTCCTTTCTATCCGTTTTTCTGTCAGTCTTTCTATCTGTCTGTCTGACCATCTGTACTTTTTTTCTGCCTGTCTTCTTACCTGCCTACCTGTCTGTCTGTCTGTCTGTCTGTTTATAACTAAATAATCAGACATTAAGTAAATCGGAGCCGCGTTAGCGCAGTCAATATGAGACTCGCTTTCAAATCCAGCTGCGACTACTGCAGCCCACGGTCGGTGTTCGAAACCAGGCGGTTCCTGGGGTTCACTCAGCCTCGAGGAAATGGGTAGAGTTAACACTCTGGGGTAAATGGAGGAACGTCGCTGTAGCTACGGAGTTGCGTACGGGCCGCGACACAGTCGGACAGTTTCATATCAGCTGTCCGTACTGGTGGCAGAGCACTTATGGTTTATAACCGTGTGCAATGACGCTGGTTCACATGGTTTATAACCGTGTGCAATGACGCTGGTTCACATCTCCCGACTTTACATTTATCTTTACATGTACTAAATGTCCTTTAGTAGCAGTGACTGTGTGGTTTCGAGGCATGGTGTCCGCATCGAGTGCTAGAGGTTCCGGGTTTAATCCCTAGTAAGGGCTGGGATTTTTGTCACGTAGTCTTGGACTTCTTGTAATTTCCCCTTGGTCTCTGGGTAGTGAGATCGAACGCCCGTGTGCAATGTTGTGCATGTAGAAAATTCCTTGGCAGTTGGAAATCGAAAAGAGTAGCCTAACGGCGCTGCCCGGGCAAAGATCTGGTGTTCAAAATCTACCCAAAGTATTTCAGGATCTTCGCCGGTGCTACAGAGCCTGTGCACTGCGTTGAGCTTCTACGGACTCAAGACTTGAGTTAGAAGAAGAACAGGGCACTTATGGGTTGCTACCTGTGTGCCATGATGTTGGTCTGTTGTTCAAACCTAACGTAGCATTGACAACTGCTGCATTAACAACACAAACACAGTGAATTAGAGGCGACTTTCTAATCACCGAAGCCACTCTCGTGTCGCTACACCAGACGCTCACCTTGGGATCCTATCCACCACCACCACCCACCCCTTCCCTCCAAAAATTGACCTTGGATCCCAGGTAGACCCAGCCTAAAAATTGGTATCAGGTAAAGTCACGGAAAGTCAAGGCGGCCGGCGTAGTATTGACCATATCACCCACCGACTACCGATTTGTCTATAAAATCTAAGTCTAGCCCTATGTGCCCAGTACGACTGAAGGCAGGGAAAATATTTGTTTATTTGCTTCACTGAATTTCTACTCACACGTTACTCACTTATTTTTCAGTTGGAGCGCATGTTAGGCCAGGATTTTATTGAACTCTCCTACACCTTACAAAATATCGGTAGGTATGTTGACCTCGTTAAACGAACTACTGTAAATAGAAAACTCGTAGAAGTTAACATGCACACAATTTTGTCTCAGCACGGATCTATTATTAATTATTATTATTATTATTATTATTATTATTATTATTATTAGTCTCTGATCATCACGAATATTGTTAACATGAACTCGAGACATTGAGACAGTACACAGTTGTTTTTGTCTGCTAATGACAGTTTAAACCAAAAGTCTCAAACTTTTTTCTTAAGTGACGCCCTTTTGGAGTATATGGCAAGACCATATACCCCCCCCCCCCTTCCCCTCCTTTAAGTATATGGCAAGTACTCTCCCCCTTCCTCCGCCCTTTTGCGTGTATGGCACCCCCCCCCCCCCCCCCCCCCCCCTCCCCCCCCCCCCCCCCGCCTTTGAGTATGTCAACCCATCCCCCCCCCCCTGCCCTCGCCACCTTGAGTAAATGACAAGACCCGCGCGCCTTGAGCATATGATAAGAACACCCCCCCCCCCACCCTCCCCCCCACACACACTTTGAAACAAATGGAAACGACCGCCCCCCCCCCCCTCCTTTTTTCGAGTAAATGGCAAGGAACCCCCGGCCCCTATATATGGCAAGACTTAAGTATATGGCAAATGTTCTTTATTTAATAAAATGCACCTTTAGCCTATCCTGTTCTGTTATCCGCGTGCCTAGGTACTTACATTCCTATCTTGTTCTGTTATCCGCGTGCCTAGGTACTTACATTCCTATCCTGTTCTGTTATCCGCGTGCCTAGGTATTTACATTCCTATCCTGTTCTGTTATCCGCGTGCCTAGATACTTACATTCCTATCCTGTTCTGTTATCCGCGTGCCTACGTACTTACATTGATGTACTTGTTCTGTTATCCGCGTGCCTAGGTACTTACATTGATGTACTTTGTTCTGTTATCTGCGTGCCTAGGTACTTACATTGATGTACTTGTTCTGTTATCCGCGTGCCTAGGTACTTACATTCCTATCGTGTTCTGTTATCCGCGTGCCTAGGTACTTACATTCCTATCCTGTTCTGTTATCCGCTTGCCTAGGTACTTAAATTCCTATCCTGTTGTATTATCTGCGTGCCTAGGTACTTACATTGATGTACTTGTTCTGTTATCCGCGTGCCTAGGTACTTACATTGATGTACTTGTTCTAAACAAACACTCCACGTCTGTGGCTGAGACATTGCCAATTCGCTTTGTAATGACAGGGTGCCGGGTTCGATCCTAATTGTGGACAAGGGCAAACTACTGAACGTAAAATTTGCCCACAAAAACTAAAACAGCCAAAAAACGCGGGTGTTCTGCAATTTCCTGTTAAGGATAAGAAACGAACTGTTTTTCTAAGAAAAAGAAAAACACCTCTGACTTTTATTTTATTGGACGGTATAGGGTAGAATACCTTGGACAGCCAAAAAGAGCAACCGAGAGGTTTTAAAAGAGGCGGGAGACCGAAGACAACTTATCACTGACATCAGAAGGAGACAGTCATCATTTTTCGGCCATGTTATGAGAAGAGGGAAAATAGAACATGTTGTGACCACTGGAAAGATCTGTGGAAGGAGGGATAGAGGAAGACAACGAGAGAAGATGCTTGACAGTCTTGTTGCTTAGCATGGAGGTGTGTCGGCACACGAACTGATACATGCTGCAGGAGATCGCGGATTATGGAAAGGCATGATCGCCCACGCCAGACGGCAAAGCACCTGATGATGATGATGATAGGGTGTATTTTGAGTAATTATATTTCTTGAAAAGATTGCCACTCTTACTTTTATAATTATCGTCTATGGAGTTAATGCAACATGTACTACTGCTAGAGTGTGTTTTATTCTGGGTTATGTTCTCCACATTACAAGTCTATTCTCTGTCAGTTCTACTGTTTCAATTGCTAACTGTATTAGGATGAAGTCTTTGAGCACCAATAAATGACATCAGAAATTGTTCAAAAACTACATTCGAATACCTGCCACCATTAAGAACACATTATCAACCAAAAATACTCTTTCTTCAATAGTTAACACCAATATAGCTAAGCTCAATTACTGAAAACATACAAACAAAAAAGGGTACATAGCAGTGATGTTCTAAAGTAACTTTTCAAAAATATTTTCTCATTTAAATTTGTTCACTTGATCCCAAATGGCTCTTACAGAATTTAGCTTGTCAGATATCAGTACATACATACCACCAACTGGTGTAGAACCAGCCACTTTATCTGCCTATTCATTTCCCATTATACCTGCGTGTTCGGAGGAAAAAAAAAGGATGCAATAACATAGAATCTCGGGCGGCCCAGGAACCTGGCGGCTATAAAGCAACCTATCGCTGTTTTGGGTGCATTTGATATTTGAACTAGGATAGTGATGTTTATAACCATGCAATTTTGTTGCTTTTTTTTTTTTTTTTTTTGCAGATTTCACCAAACGCTGGTCCCAGCATCAACATATAGAACCATGGAAACCATCTATTATTCATTTTTGTAATTTATTCCGATGTCCATCGCAGTTATGATGCACACAATTAAAAACAAAATATGACTTCTGTAAAACCCATCTTACATCTGATATAAATCAAGGAAAAACAATTAAGATTAAGATTACCTCTCTTTGGTTTCCTTTTCAGTGTTCTTCAAACTATTTGTTGCCTGTGGATAGGCTAAATGGGTAAATTTGTTTCAAGGACCCCCTGATAGCTAATCAAAAGTTAAGTGGGGGCGAGGGGTGGGGACATATATATTTGTGTAATTTTTCTAGGCAAGGGGGGGGGTAGGGTTGTATACTCAATGGGGGGGGGGGGGTGCCATATACTCACAAAAAGGGGGGGGGGGTCTTGTCTATAGGAGTGTGTGTGAGTGAGTGTGTGTGTGTGTGTGTGTGTGTGTGTGTGTGTGTGTGTGTGAAATCTGATGTCAGTGAATTATAATAGTGGTACCAGAGCCGACCGAAATTTGACAATGTGGTACACGTTGCTCGATCGTTGTTTCTGTTGGACGAAGTACAGCCATAACATCTATTCGATTTCTCTGTGTGGTTATTATTACTGATATGGCTGAGAACAATCTCTTCCACACATATAAAAGCCTAAAAATCAAGACTCAGCAGAAGTTGTTGGTCGACCAGAAAGACGTTTGAACATCAACATCCTTTGAAACGATTACTTGAAGGACTCCTAGTCCAAACAATCAGGTCACCTACAGAAAACCTTTCCCACTTAGGGGCTAGCACTTTCTCAGGTTTATAGCAACTGATTATTTTCAGACAAATCAGCATTATTTGATTCATATTTCAACATTCTGAGCAAATGTACGTTTCGCTTAATTCGTTGAATTGTTAAAGGCTGACATAACATTTTGAAGCTTGAACACATCGGCGAAATAAAGACATACCTTGGGACATGAGAGTTGCCAGAGGCTAATAGATTATTGCGGCATAAAATATTTGATGGTTAATGAAAGCAGATACTCCACTTCGAGCAAAAACCCTATTCCAATTAGGGTGAGGTCGTCTTTCCTAGATGTCTACTGTTACTTACTGCCACCTGAGTCTGACGGAAGACACTGAACTGATTATCAAAACAAACACCTTTACCTGGTATTATAGGAAAGTAAAACGTAAAGGACTTTATTTAACGTCTTCAGGCGTGATGAGCATATACGGTTAGACCTATATTTTATTAACCAATGGGCACTTGGAAAGTGATGTGGCCAACCTCATACCGGCCGCCTTGACTTTCCAGTCTTGTACCTGGGGACCAAGGTTATTTTTGGAAACAAAACAAAAAATCTGGTTTCGTCAGGCCGCTACAACACGGCAGCTCCTGTTAAGGGAAAGTACAAAGGTACTGAAGCCGTAGAAGATACTTATCTGAAGCGAAGACAGTGTTACAGGAAGCGGAAACATGAACAAGCATATGGTAGTTGTTAACACTGCATGGGTTAAACTGTGGAGAATGACGGGTCTGTTACGCTAACGCGATTACAATAGCTGTGAGAAAAGCTTGTTGGGTGAGGCCTATATACGCAATCATCGAGGTCAAGATAGGAAGCGTTGTAACCAACATTTAGTGGGAACAATTAGTAAAGTAGGGTGAATGCTGCATCGGAGGCTCGGAGGACTGAGCACGCATGGGAATGCACAGAGTGCAATGACACCGATAGTGGTAACATAACAGAACATTATAATAACATTACATAATAGAACATCATAGATTCGGAAAATACTATCAACGGAAGAAGAAAAGGACATACATGCTTACAGAATGCATCATTACAGTGGCAATGGCAGATCTGCAGTGGAGGGAGGGGAAGGGGGGACGGGTGGGGGAGGGGGGGGGGGGCTATTTTGTTGGCCAAACAAGATCACAAAAGATAAACTGAGGAGGAAAACGAAACGTTAATCACTTGCAAATGTTATTAAAGAAAAAGTATAGGTTATAGGGATAGACATGTTTGTCTTGTGATTATCTGGCAAAGCCAGCTCTCCGATTGACGGTTGACAAAGTAGTGGGCTAATTTAGGAAAATGGACAAAGTGGAAAGAGACATGAAGAAGCGTAACCTGGCAAAGGTAACAGTTCTAGGGCTGCGTGGTTTCAATGTATGGCACCCGCTTTGAGTGCCGGAGGTCCCGAGTACAAACCCCAGTTCAGGCTGGAAATTTTTCAAGGGGACATAGTAATTTCCCCTGTTCTCTGTGTAGTAGGATCGGATGCCCGTGTGTATTGTTGCGCACGTAAATATTACCTTGGCAGTTGGAAATCGAAAAGAGTAGCCTAACGGAGCTGCCCGTGCAAAATTTGGAGTTTTAAATGTACTCAAAGATTTCAGGATCATCGCCGGTGCAACAGAGTACGTGCACTGCGCTGAGATTCTTAGGCTTGTTCAAAGTAGAACGGAGAACTTATGCGTTACTTGCCTGTGACATAACGTTGACACGTCGACTATACTAAACTAGATAA